GACAAGTTGATAACCCTAGTTTTTAAAGCCAAAACCAAATTTGTTTTCATCTTAGATGGATGTTGAGAATAAAAGTTTATGAAACGGTTACTAAAACAAGGTTTACGATACCACTCCGTCTTTAGCATGCCATCATTGCCACGATGGATTAGCATGTCTAAAAAAGGAATGAAAAGGAAATGAAAGGAAAGGAAAGGAAAAAAGTTTGTGAGATTTCGTGTAGTTAGTGTATCTGACAGAAGCTGATCCAGTAAAAGATTGTCAGAAGCCGGAGACAGAATCTGTCTCCGGCTTCTATATAAAATGTAGCTTCTCCAATTTTTAAATTTTAAAGTGTTTGTTTGTCTTTGTTTAGTGTATTTGTTATGTCCCAATTTACATTTATGACATTCTGTTATTGCTGGATAGGCCACAACTGACGAAATGCCCCTGAAGATGATCTTGTGATCGAAAGTACTTGGGCAAGATTTGATTAAATACTGTGTTCGATATTTGCCTTGTGTACCATCCAAGTTTAATTAATTAATTAGCTAATTAATTGCTTGGCGCAATAAGACTTTGAATATCACAATAACTGGCTTCCAAAACGTGGGGCTTGAAAATATCACAGCTTTACATTTAATGGAAGGGAAAGAGATCTGGAATAAGTACAGGTGATCCAGAGATAAAAACATATAACATTGAGGGAATTTGAAAGTATTTTGACAATTTTTTCCAGTGGATAAAAATTTGATTTATTGATTGATCGTAGTTAGTTGATATTTACTGCTTTTGAATTATTTGATTTTTATTTTTTACCAATCGTACATTTGATATTTATTTTGAATTATTTGAATTTTACTGATTGCATATTTGATATTTGTCGTGAAAATTTATTACAATTGGGGAGAAATATTGTCGTGTCCTGCAACGTGTAGAGTGGTGTAAATACTCACATTTGGCGGGGACAAAAACATTAACGAAAAGAAACAACATGTCGACCACAAGGAGTCAAAGCAAAATGCAAGAAAAGAAGAAGGATAACAAAGAAGAGGAAAAAATGGTTGAAGAAGGATCGGATAATGAAGGAAAAGTTACAATAGTTGAGGAGAAAAAAGAATCATCAGGAATAGATAAATTATTAGCAATGATGCAAATACAGAATGAAACAAAGAAAATGGATAGAAAGCAAGAAGAGACAAAGAAAAAAATGGATGAAACAAAGCAAACAATAGAAGAAAATAACAGGAATATAGAACAGCGTTTGGAAAATTATGAATAGAAAATTAAAGGATGTGTAGAGGAGATGAAAAGAGAAATGATACAACAGATAGAAGAGATTAATGAAATTAAAAATAAAATAGGAGAACAAGAAAACAAAATGAAGGAAATCAAGATTGTCCAGAAAAAGGAATTAGAACAGTTAGAAGAAAAAATTAAAATGGCGCTACAAGAAGACAGGAAGGAAGTAGAAAGAAGATTAAAGCAAAATGAAAAACAAATGGCAGAAATTGAACTAAGAGGGGTAGAGAGAAAAGAAGTTATCATCCATGGAACAAGCGAGGCGAAAATACAATTTGGCGGGGATATTCCGAAAACACACCCAGTACCGTTTGTTAAAAATTTGAAAACCAAATTGCAACATGTTAGATATTTTGACGATTGCAAAGAAACAATTAGAAACCATCTGAAAGAAGGAGCAGCGTTATGGTATGAAAGCAAAGAAGATGAGTTTGAAAATTGGACAGATTTCGAAAATAAATTTCTCAACTATTTCTGGGGGAAAAATAAACAGAGGGAAATCAACCAAGAGCAACAGAATGGAAAATATCACGAAAAAATGGGAATATCTGAAGAAAGATATGCTTTGCAGATATATAACAATTAAAAATATCTGGAATACAAATATTCTACCGAACAGCTGGTAGAAATGATCAGCAGACATTTTGAGGAAACTTTGGAAGATCACGTGATTTTGAGAAACTATCAAGATATTGATAGTTTGTGCCAATTCCTTCAATTAAAAAAAGCGAAAAGAAGAGAAATGAGAAATATAAGACAACATGACCAATATAATGGACCGGAAAGAAGGTATCCATCAAATTATGACCAGAGACACCGACATCCCAGATCAACAAACGAATATAGGCCGAGAAATTACAATAATTACAATAGACAACAAAATTACGATAACAGGAATGACACACAAAATAGAACATATGAAAATCACAACAGGAATAGAGCTGCACAAAATCCTCCGAATAGGAATACGAACGAACAAAGGGACGATAGAAATAACCAGAGCTTCCAACAACAAAATAGAAGGGAGATGAATCATGTAGCAATAGGAAACGAAAGACAAATTTCTAATTCTAATCTAATATTTTTAGATGCATTTATAAAACATAAAGTGATTAAAATTGTGATTGATTCTGGATCGGAGATATCGCTAATCAATAAAAAACTAGTAAAAGAATTAAATTTGGACAGATTTGTGTATAAGATTCCTAGGGTAGAGAGTATACTATATACCCTGTAATAATTGTAATAGAATATATATTGGAGAAACGTCCAGAAATTTGTCCGGAAGATTAACATCTCACAAGAGTGATATTAATCTGAATAAAGTACAAGCCTGTGCATTAAGTGAACATTGTATTACAATGGGCCATACGCCTAACTATGATCAAACAGAAATATTGAGAAGGGAAAGAAATTACAACAAAAGACTGTTTCTAGAAATGTGTTTAATTAAAACTACACAAAATACCTTAAACAAAAGAGAAGACATTGAAAATCTTAGTAAAATATTGACAAATGACATTGACAAATGAATCAGTAAAATATTAGTTGAATATCAATCTTTATTAAGTGAAGTATTAAAATCCGTAAACTAATTTTCGAAACCAAATTCACATTTTTGCTTTAATCTGAGCCTTCTAAGAATTGTAAGGCAAAACAGACATTGATAAAGATGTTATTAGAGACATGGGGAATCTAAAATTTGCATTCCACAACATATTTCCTCAACTAAGCAAAAAGTACTCGTACAGAGTATATCGGAATAAAAAGAAAAAGACAGCCAAGATTTTATTTCACGTATGGTGCGTCTGTGTATCTGCTTATACGTATTTCGCCCTAATAGGGCTCGTCAGAAAATCTATTCACAGTCGTTCTGAACGTAAAAATAAATCTTTTCTGTCTTAGGAAGCAACATGGCTTCGTATAGACGCAAATAGCGATATCTGATATTAAAATTCGTAAACTAATCTTTATCAACCTCTGTTTTGCCTTGCGGTGGGTCATAAGACGCCCTCTCAGTGATCTCCCTGTCTGATTGATGTTGCACGAGTCACACTCAGCACAAAGTATGTGATAGATGACATTTACTTGTTCCAAAAGGAACAATGGTGTTTTTGTTTTAGAGAACAAATTTCTGACAGTCTTGGCATTCTTAACTGCAATTTTAACAGGTACATTATTATGTTTGTACAGTTTAATCCGTACAGTTTTTCCGTAGCTTGGGGGAAATAAGGTAAAGAGGAATAATGGGTAGTTGGAGTCCCAAGTACAGTAGTAGGCAGAACAGTGTTATTAATGGAATTATTTGATATTATTCCCTTTGATATGGAGTTATTTGATAAGTTGGTCACCAATGGGTATACATTTAGTGAGGAACCATAGCTTTTAAATAAAGGTATTTATTAATGAGGGAAGATGGGTAGGAGTTCTCAATCAATATGTTTCTGAGTAATCGAAGGTATTCCCTTCGATTAACCGGATTTGTTAGTCTATTCAGCCTGAAGCTTAAAGCTTTAATAAGGTTTAATTTATATTTAAAGGAGTGACGAGAGTGGTAGTTGAGAAACCTATTAGAGGCCAGTGGTTTCCTATACCAACTTGTGGTTAAGGTGTTATCTCCCATTCTAATGACACATGTCTAAGAAGGGCTATTGGTGATGGAGTCCTCAAGTTCAACAGTGAACTGTAAGTGAGGATCAAACTCATTGAACAAAGACAAGGTGGCCTGTATCTTGTCTGGAAGTAAGGCCAGGAAATAGGTCATCAACATACCGCTTAATAAAAGGAATTTGGAAATCTAAAAGACCCAAACGGTCAGATACTAAATCATCCAGTACAAAATAAACTAGGATGGGAGAGATTGAAGAACCCATAGGTGTCCCAAATATTTGTAGATAATATTTGTCATCAAAGACCAAAAAATTGGTGTCAAATACCAATTGCAACAGTTCTGCAAATACATCCCAGGATACAGGACAGTTAGGTTGGATTAGGTTCCAGTGATTTCTTAGGGAGGTAATGACACTAGAAAGAGGTAAATTCGTGAAAAGAGATATCACATCAAAACTCACTAAAATGTAACCTTGTGGAAGTTCAAAGTTATTAATAAATTCACTAAAGTGAAAAGAATCAATATTATTAAAGTTGCTGTTATAGATATAAGATTTTGACGAGATATCAGATAAAAATTTTGAGATATTTATCTTAGGTGAATTAATTGAGGAAACAATAGGCCTCATGCTCAATATAGGCTTATGTATTTTCGGTAGACAAAATCTAGGAGCATACCCATCATAATTATGTAATCAACCTCTTAATAAATTTTTACATTGTTACATTATATGCTGATTATCTTGAATTTCTTCTCTTTTTGGTCTTTCGGTGAAATAAAATAGAGGAAATATATGCTTGCTATAAGAAGTTGAAATATTTTAATAATTGGAACACTAGAGAGACAAATAAATTTTTACAGAATGTAATTACCACGCTTTAAATGCGAAATATCTTAATTATTAAAAAAACAGATATGATTATAACAATAAATTGTTCCAGTTATAATTACAGTGCCTGTTCTGAACGACTGTGCCACTTTGATATTTCGGAGTTAAATAGTATTAAGGTATTGTTTACCCAAGAAACAATAGTTTCTAATCCCAATAAGCCAGCAAATCTGGCTAAGGATTCTACAAAAGCCAACCAATCTAAGAAAAAAGACTTACCTAAAAATACTATCCAGTTTTGCTGTAGTCAAAATATCACTAAAGTAATACGCTGAATTATGTTGTATGTGCAGAGCTTTAACTTCCCAGTACTGTTTAAAAAAACTGGTTGGACTTAAAGGTGCAATTAACCATTTAAATAATTTTAAACTTTCCGAAACTGGATCTTTATTGTGAAATACAGTACCTGCAAATTTAATATTTTATAATAAGTAAATTTAAAAGTAAACAAGTATGTTATTAAAACAAGTATGTTGTGTTAAGTTTGAACATGATATGTTCAAACTAGTTGTTACTAAAACCGCAGCGTAATAATTTACTTAGTTATAGCTCATCTATATTTTTGTTTAGAATCAACGTCCAACTGTAGATCCTGCATATCCGTGCATTCTCTATAGATTCTTTAACTTTTCGTCATTACTGCAATATATTTATCTAGGGTTGCCATGGGTTTCAATAGTTGTTGTAACCACTAAATCATCAAATCATATTAATTTGATCGTAATGTATATTATTAACGTTACAATGTAGTTACTTTTAACAACTTTTTCCCATACCTCTTTGATAATACCCTTAATAATAATTAATAACATCCATAATATCTTGGTGAGGATATGTAATAAGGTGTCTTTCTGCATTTAAATCCAACTGCTTACTATTAACTCTATTAATATGTAACTATAATATATAATTTTAAAGTAGGTAAACTGAGTTCACAGTTTCGTGGACCTGACGCATTCATTTTATGACGTCAACCTAACGCAACAATGAAATCAGGCATTGATGAAAGCATATTTCTGTTTAGTGCGTTTTCACAGCAAGATAGAGTCAACCTAGTTTTTGTATAAGTAAAATAGTGTAAGTATTTTTATTATTTTTCTGCTAACCGTCGTTTTTAATACTTTATACTGAGATACTAAAAATTAAGTTAAATTATGAAAATTACTTTAAAAGCGTGTAAAGTATTTAACTCCTAGCTGAGTACTTTATTGTTTATTTTAATATGTATTTATTTGCAAAAGACTTATATGTTTTGTACACACTTATTATAAATGAATGAAATAAAAAGAAAGTTCTTTAAAAGTATGTAAAACATTTAACTCCTAGAGTATGTAAACTGAAAGCGTTCAGCTAGAAATAAATAGATTTGCACACCTTTAAAGTACTTTTCTTTTCAATTCATTCATTTATTATTTTTTATAAATTTTTTACATGTTAAAAACATAACTGATATTTAATATCTTTCTATTATCTAAAATCAAGTCGTTTGGCAGAGAAAGTAACAATAGAAATGTTGTACATAGCGAATAGCTCAAACAAAGGATGCCTCAGAAAGAACAGTGAAGGGGGTAATTAAGGAATATAAAAACAAACCATCAGCTTCAAAATTTGGTACCCCTAGAAGAAGCATTTGCAAGCACCCCCCCCCCCAAGTTATCAGTTAATTTAAATATTTAAATTTATTTCATTTAATATTTCTATTAATCTATGTACCATGCTAGTAAAAGGGCTGTGAGAGTATGGCGTATTTTCCCATGTTAAATCCCATAAGAAATCGCTAAGGTCCATTCTGATCATTTTTGACGCTTTTTTTTGGTGGAGGCGCGACTCCATATTGGATCGTGACGGGTAAGTTATCGATGGAAAGGGGAGGGACAAACGAATACGTAGACACGAAAATCAAAGATGACGTCATTGCCAAAAGGACACTAAGCTTGTAACGTCTAAACGGCTCAACGTACAACAATGTGTATGGTATCAATGAAAAGGGGAGGGTTTCGCGCAGCTATGGGTAATACTGTTTTGGCTACGGGATGGGGGCGGTAGAGCGAGGGGGCGAGGACCGGGCGAGGGGTGCCGGGGGGACGGGGGTACTCGATGTATCGTCGATACATGAAAATAGCGTTAATTCTTCTTCTTTTCGTATGAAATCGTCCAAACGTAATGAAAGCATCAATTCTTCTTCTTTTCGTATCGTTGAAACTAGAAAATAGCGTCAATTCTTTTAAAGCGTAACAGGGGTTGTTGGAAAAAGGTGCGTTGGCTCGACGGATTGTGACTTACAAAGGGGTCGATGTAAATGGGGACGGATAAGCGGGGGTATTGCCAAAAAAACGGTATTATATCCCGATGTTAATTTAGAGCTTGTGATATGTAAACAGTGTGGGGTGTATCGAATATGTTATTTAATCCAATAACTAACCGTTACGAGCTGCATACTATATTTGATCTACGACCATAACATAATTTAGAATGTTCTGTGATAGTTGTTCGACTTTAACGATAAAAGCGTTAAATGAACGAGGACGGTATAATGAATATATAAAAACCGACCTCATCGAAAAAATACCTCTCTTTGTATCTATCTCGAAACAATTCATATGATATTGAAATAGGAATAACGTACAGCATCGGCTATCGCTGGAAATAGAACATGATGAATCGAAGAACGTATATCATTCTTACAGTAGGACCAAACCAACAAACATCATTCTTCTTATAATCTTCTCTGATTGATCACTACTTCACATGGATCTCCAATATACTACACATAGCTGTATTCGTAACATGTTTATGGAGATTACAGAATAGTCACATATCCCCACGCCCCGTCTAATCCGTATCCTCATGCCCCAGGCCTCTCGACCAATGGTGTTATAGGAACGCCTCCACGTAAACGCCTGACCAATGGCAGCACAGAAACGCCCCACTCGTGACGTTAGACCATATCCTCGACCACTGGTGACATGGGAATGCCCTCTTGGAACGTACTTTCGACCAATGGTGGTATAGGAAGATCCACAAGTAAACGTCTGAATGACAACATGTAAACGCCCAATGGTGACATGTAAACACCCCGTTACGTATTCTCATATCCCCACACCCTAACCAATACGTACCCTCATGCACCACGCCCCAACATATATCTACCAATGATGACATAGGAACGCTAAGTAAACGCCCAATGGTGACATGTAAACACCCCAAACCGTGGTGTTACGTATTCTCATACCCCCACACCCTAACCAATACGTACCCTCATGCACCACACCCAATATGTATCGACCAATGATGATATAGGAACGCTAAGTAAACGCCTGAATGTTAGCATGTAAACGTCCCTCGATACAATGAGAATGAAGTAATGACCAAAGAGATTCCACCCCGAGGCATGCAGTCGTGTAGGATAAAAGTCGATCTGATAGAGGTTACATAATTGAATAAAATTCTGTATGTATCAAGCCTTCTAAGAAGCAAGATGGATAAAATCAAGTAGTTCAGAGGTCTGAACGCAGTCAGAAAAATAAAACGCTTAAATTTAGATGACATGGTTATTGACCAATGGATGACAAACACAGAAGTTACCTGCTATATCTTTTATATCAGCGAAGAACCAGTATCGTTTGTTCTATTATCAAAATGCACGTTTGAACCGCTCGGACAGCATGATGCACCAAGAGTATTAGATTACGTATATACAATACCTCATCATCAGAAGAGAGGATACGCATGCAAACTTATAGAACATGTAATGAAAAATGACCAATTCACAGCATTTTGCTCCAACAAAGAATCGGAACGGTTGTTTGGTAAATTTAAATGTGTTAATCATGGAATAATGAATTATAATGTAATGTTTAGATATCCATAATAAAATCGAAATGTACATATAAACAACATATCGTGCTTTATTCCGCACTTATTGCAGTCTACCACACTGTACTCTGAAATACCGGAATAGGTAAAAGAATATAGAAAAAACGTGATATTCTCAAAGGACATACGATGGGTATATCGCATGAGAATAACTAGAAAATAATTGATAGTTAACCTATCGATGTCTAGCAATTTTGAACTTCGGACAAAAACATGTAACGTACCCTAACTGTAAACGAACTGTAACAGATATCTAACGCGATCGAACATATAGCAGACGATATACCTGACGCTATCTAACGCATATGAGATTTTTAGCAAACGCGTTCTAACTCATATCAGACGTATAGCAGACGCATGTCAGACGTATATCAGACGTACATCAGACGCATAGCAGAGGTTAGCAGAGACACACAGAGGGTAACAGAGACACACAGAGCGTAACAGAGGGTAGAAGTGACCACATAGCAAAACGCAGCAGAGGGTAGCAGAGATACACATAGAAGGTAACTGAGAGTAACAAAGCCATATAGCAGAGCATGACAGAGGGTAACAGAGACGCATGGCAGACATATAGAAGAAGCAATCTAACTCATATCAGACATATAGCAAACACAATCTTACTCATATCAGACGTATAGCAGCCGTATACTAGACTCAAGATGGGACAGAAAAATCGCTAAGAAAATCTGTCGAAAAAAAAGGAAATTTGTCAGAGTAAGAAATGAAAGAATCGTAAGAAATTATGCGCGTTAAATACAGAATAACGACGGATATAGCAACTGCACTGGTATGGACACGGCCATAGAATGGGCGACAACAGAATAACAAAAAGTAATATATTGGACACCACAGAAAAGACGAGGGAAAAGCAGGTCAACAACTACTAAACATAAATATATAAATCTCATCTCACAAATATGATTATTGATATACGATATCGATTTGTTGCATATTATATTTTATTTACAAAAATTTAACAAAGATATTCAGATATAAGAGAATTAATGAATGAACGAATGCTTACCATCCATACATTATGTTCAAACAACTAACGTATATTACTTGACATAGATATGAGTTGGATGATCACAAACCGACAAGGACCTAAATGTTCTGTACAAGCAACATTTGAATGAACACTACTATACACAAGTCTCCATTGAACGTACCATTCGACAAGGGTCTCAGCTAAACGCTTACTAATATACACACAGATCTCATCTGAACGTACAATTAGTCAAAAGTCTTATCTAAACATCCTCTACTATACATAAATATCCAATATGACTATTTTGGTATGGCTTTGTTGCATACTATATTTTGTCTACAACAATTTTACAAATATATTCAAATATAATTGAATGAACGAATGTTTACCATCCATAAATTATGTTCAAACCAACTAACGTACTGACATATATATGAGTTGTTATTTCGAACTGTTAAATGAAAGCAGAGGGGAAAGCGTAAATATTGGTATACTATATTTTATCTACGACGAGCAAGTAATTTATTGTTTTAAAGTGGATAATGAACAATGATCTTTGTAAGAATATATATGTTGGTCATAGACGGTTCTTCGATAGCCATCAGGTAACAATTTCCCCTGAACATGTTTCTAAAATATACGGAATGCACTGTATATACCTAACCCTAGTTGACAGCGCACTTTGCAGGTCCCGTCTTACAATCAACTAGTAGGTTTAAGTACAACTCCCTACGTGAAGGTACACAGGGGTGATTCCGTGCGGAAAAATGTCGACCATCCTTTTTATACTCCGTAAAGGACCATTAAATATGCAACGTTGAGATATTTTGGGCATAATAACAAAGAAAAATCAAATTAAATACATTTTTGGACTATATATAGTTATAGAGTGTATATTATAGTTTCAGAGTATATACTTTGGATGTGAAAATTGAAAGTAAATATATTATTTAATATGAAAGAGAAACTTAGCCATCGAGTAAAGATATGACTACCACAATACGCTACAGTAACTCTATAGAAATGCTGTACACGAAATGATAAAAAAAATATATTAAATTCTCTGATATTGAAACACGTAAGGCAGAAAATATGGACAATAATGATGGAAAATGAATAAAATATCTGACAGAAACACGTAAGACAGAAAGCATGGACAATAATGACAGACAATTTGTAAAAATAACTAACATAGAAACACGTAATTCAGAAAGCTTGGACAATAATAATGGAAAATGTATAAAATATTCGGTATAGAAACACGTAAGACAGAAATGCTGTACATAAAATGATAGATAATGTGTAAAAATATCTAACATAGAAACATGTAACGTAGAAATAATGGACAATGATTATGGAAAATGTTTAAAATATCTGACATGGAAACACGTAAGACAGAAATGTTGTACATAAAATGCTAGAAAATGTGTAAAAATATCTAGCATAGAAACTTGTAAGGCAGAAAGCATGGACAATAATGATGGAAAATGTATAAAATATCTAACATGGACACACGTAAGACAGAAATGCTCTTCATAAAATGCTAGACAATGTGTAAAAATATCTAGCATACAAACTTGTAAGGTAGAAAGCATGGACAATAATGATGGAAAATGTATAAAATATCTGACATGGAAACACGTAAGACAGAAATGTTGTACATAAAATGATAGAAAATGGCTAAAAATATCTAGCATAGAAACATGTAAGGCAGAAAGCATGGACAATAATGATGGAAAATGTATAAAATATCTGACACGGAACACGTAAGACAAAAATGCTGTATATAAAATGATAGAAAATGTGTAAAAATATCTAACATAGAAACATGTAAGACAGAAAGCTTGGGCAAAAATGACGGAAAATGTATAAAATGTCTGACATAGAAACACGTAAGACAGAAATGCTGTACATAAAATGATAGAAAATGTGTAAAAGTATCTAACAGAAACATGTAAGGTAGAAAGCATGGACAATAATGATGAAAAATATATAAAATATCTGACATAGAAACATGTAAGACAGAAATGCTGTACATAAAATGATAGAAAATGTGTAAACATATCTAACATAGAAACACGTAAGGCAGAAAGCACAGGCAATAATGATGGAAAATGTATAAAATATCATACATAGAAAAACTTAAGGCAGTAATGCTGTACATAAAATGATAGAAAATGTGTAAAAATATCTAACATAGAAACATGTAAGGCAGAACGCATGGACAGTAATGATGGAAAATGTAAAGATCTGACATAGAAACACGTAAGGTAGAAACATGGACAATAATGATAAAAAATGTGTAAAATATCCGACATAAAAAGATGTAAGGCAAAAAGCGTGGACAATAATGATGTAAAATGTATAAAATGTCTAACAAAAATACGTAAGACAGAAATGCTGTACATAAATGATAGAAAATGTGTAAAAATATCTAACATAGAAACATATAAGGCAGAAAGCATGGACAATAATGATAGAAAATGTGTAAAATATCTGACATAGAAACACTGATGTACATAAAATGATAGAAAATATCTGACATAGAAACACGTAAGATAGAAAGCATGGACAATACTGATGGAAAATGTATAAAATATCAAATAAGATAGGTTTGTACCCAGAAAAAATATCTCGATAAACGCAAAAAAACACTCGATCGCTATGAAAATTCAAAATATCAAAATACTGTGGGAATAACAAAACATACTTGGGTATTTAATACGTGTTACTTACTCATGTTTCGTAATATGTATATTGAAAAATTTCGTCAGAGCCCCGTAAATAGGCAATTTTACAATGGGTCATTATTAAATCGGTAACACGGAATATTACCAACAAGAAAAGGTCCATTCAAATGGTGTTGTAATTACACCACATTTCTGGGATGAACATAATGAGATAGTATTCGATCCAACAGATGCAATTACAAAACATCATTTACCTCATTAAATCGAATTTGTACTGAAAAATGGAGTGTTTATGCGTAAAAATGCTGAAGATGCAAGAACGATTGATATTTATCATGATTTTAAGAAGAGGCTCCAGAATGTCTACTTGAAATACAAAAAAATATTTTTAATATTGTAGCAAAGATACGTGATAAAAAAAGTAATGTTTAAAGTAATTGTTTTTTATAACCCACTTGTCGAAATGATCTACTAAAAATACGTAGAAAATGTTTTAATAGAATACTTGAGCGAACACTTTATAGCTGTATTTGATCAAATAATGCAGAAATAAATTAACAATATGAAAAACTTATAATGATGGTATATAAAATCAAATACGAACCCTCTCAAATATATAAAACAGTGCTTACTTTTCATTTTTAAAAATAGACATAAATTCTTGAAACACAAAACGAACACGTTATCACAAAGGTGAAATGCAGGCTGTGAGTGTAACAGAATGTAGCCGTTCATTAAATAAGCTGGCTTATATGACGTAAATCGATTGGAAATTAGTGGCACTGCAAGCTCAGTCTTGTTTACACGTGCACAGGATATTGTCGACTGAGAGAATGTTAAAAAGTAATTCAATAATATCCGATAACGTTCAACGTTCTCGATAGCAAACTACACATTTTCTTTATATATAATATTTGAAGGAATTATTGTGATGTATGAAAACTTTATTAGTAGCTATACAGGGGTAATTAAAAATTATAAAATAAAAGAATTTTAAGAAATTAAATTTTAAATTGATGCTATTACGAAAAACGGCTATAACGGTTTGGAAAGTAACTGTATATACGCTGTCGATCAAAAATTACTTTAAAATAAAACGAATTTTAGCGTTAATAATAAATATAGGTATAGTAACATACAAGATATATGACACTATGAATATTAATATATATGCTGTAATATAAATGTTAATTTATTGATATGAAGAAGGTCTCTGACACAGTAAAAATAAACAACCACCGAATCCATACATGTGACACATCAAATTAAAGAAGAGGATCTAACAAATATATTAAGGTAGAAAAACAAAACATGACGACTACTAAAAGGGCACTATACACTATCTTTGCTATTAATGAAAGTATAGCAAATATGGTACATCATATGATACTATGGATAATAATAGACACACTGTAAAGCAAATTTGCACTTATTGACCTAAAGAAGGCGCCTGACGCAGTTAAAAACAAACAAACCAGTCGTTCTATTTATCAATGATTTTACATGTCTTTATAGGGGATGAACAGTCACGTTTTATGTCAAACGCAACGTCACACGTTGAATGTCATATTTTATGTCACGTCATACGTCGGATGTGACGTTTTATGGCAAATGTCACATTTCATATCATGCCATACGTCAAATATCACATATCTCACATTTTATGTCAAACGTCACATCATATATCTAATGTCACATATTATGCCGCGTTGAATGTCAAACGCAACGTCATACGTCAGATGCCACATCATAAGTCGAATGTCCCATAATATATATCACATTTTATGTCAAACGTCACGTTTTACGTTGAATGTCGCATAATATGTCTCGTTTATATCAAACGGCACATCATATATCTAATGTCACGTCTTACGTTAAATATTGCATAATATGTCACATTTTATGTCAAACGTCACGTCATATATCTAATGACACGTATTATTTTGCGTTGTATGTCAAATGCAACGTCATACGTCAGATGTCACATCATAAGTCGAATGTCCCATAATATATATCACATTTTATGTCAAACGTCACGTTTTACGTTGAATGTCGCATAATATGTCTCGTTTATATCAAACGGCACATCATATATCTAATGTCACGTCTTACGTTAAATATTGCATAATATGTCACATTTTATGTCAAACGTCACGTCATATATCTAATGACACGTATTATTTTGCGTTGTATGTCAAATGCAACGTCATACGTCAGATGTCACATTGTATGTATATAAAAGTAGTAAATTTATTGGGTTAGGTATTACTACGCGTTTATTAAGGAATACCTAACCCAATAAATTTACTACTTTTATACATACAATGTGACATTCTAAGTTTTTCATATTGTTAATTTATTTCTGCATTATTTGATCAAATACTGCTGTAAAGTGTTCGCTCAAGTATTCTATTAAAACATTTTCTACGTATTTTTAGTAGATCATTTCGACAAGTGGGTTATAAAAAACAATTACTTTAAACATTACATTACTTTTTACTATCACGTATCTTTGCTACAATATTAAAAATATTTTTTTGTATTTCAAGTAGACATTCTGGAGCTTCTTCTTAAAATCATGATAAATGTCAATCGTTCTTGCATCTTCAGCATTTTTACGCATAAACACTCCATTTTTCAGTACAAATTCGATTTAATGAGGTAAATGATGTTTTGTAATTGCATCTGTTGGATCGAATACTCTCATTATCTTCATCATAGAAATGTGGTGTAATTACAACACCATTTGAATCGACCTTTTCTTGTTGGTAATATTCCGTGTTAGCGATTTAATAATGACCTATTGTAAAATTGCATATTTACGGGGCTCTGACGAAATTTTTCAATATACATATTACGAAACATGAGTAAGTAACACGTATTAAATACCGCAGTATGTTTTGTTATAAAGATTTTTCTCTTACATATTGTCATAAATGCCTGGAAAAAGAAGTGATCGAAAGGGTGTTTTTACACCTTAGTGATGTACACCGCGTAAGTATTGTCTATTCGCTTAGCTAGGGCATATTTTGACAGGCTCATTGTCAGAAACCTACAACACAACAATTCCTACTTCTCAGTATTAATAGCTCAAGTATACTACTATTGCAGACTGCTTTCTTTGAAAAAAAGAAGAATTATTCTAAATAGTGGAAGTGTATACTAAACCCATCAAATTTTCCCTGTATATTTAAAATATAATATTTGAATTGTTACAATTTAAAATATTGTAGTAAATATTTGTATTATTCGCGTTGTTTATTTAATTTAATATAGTTTTATTGTTTTATTATCTTTGTTTAATTCTTTTGTTAGTTCTATTCAGTTAATTAGTTAGTTATATTTTAAATTTTATTATTATGAATAGTCAAAGTTTTCCATTTGTTCCATCAGCTAATGCGTTGGTAAGTTTTTCTTAATAAATATGATAAAATGTTTTTTAATAGTTAATATTTTTAGATTAGTTGTTTCTAATTTAATATAAACTTGTTTATACTTACATGGAGGTTTTTTTTGGTTGTTTGGGTTTATATGACTGCAGACTGCGGCCAGGACACTGAATTCATTCACCATATGTGGAAGATTTTAACATCCTCAAATACTAACGAGCAAAAATTACTATTGAACCACGAATTTGCCTAGTCAAATTACTAATATTTGCTTTTAGCATATGGAAGTACACTTATTTTGTAAGATAATAAAACAACAGTTTTTGTTAATGCTATCCAATGAACTGTTAATCTTTAATCATTGATTCCATCCTAGTCACAACATAACAAAAGGAACTTGCTGTGTCTAATTTAACCTCACTTTGACTTTTTAATTTTGTAGAATTTATTCCCACTTTTTTTATTTTGTACAATAAATAATTTTATTATTTGTTATCAATACATTATACGGTGTAAATAAATAAATATTGATTGTCGGCAAAGTTCTATTTTATTTACTTTTGTTTACATTAATCAGAGATATGTAAGAGAGGGGATATGACATACCGTGAAATAGATGGGATCGGTTCGCCATATTGGAGAGTATCTGACAGATTGTTGTTTGTGTCGAGGACTTCTGTGTATAGAAATTTAATTTTAAAAATATTTTGAACTTAATTTTGTACGGTTTTACGTTTATTTTAAAGTGAAACCATTATGGCTTCGTGTGCTTTTGTTTTGTGTCTAAATAACAGTCGAAATAATCAGAAAAATTTAACTGGAATATCTTTTCATGGGTTAGTATGAAATTGTAAACAGTGTACAGGGCGGTATTACTTCCGTTTTTAGTGATGCTGCGAGTAATAAGAACAGGTAATCTTTTTAATTTGGTTTATGTGGTTGTAGATTTCCTAAAGATGTTGAAAGGAGAAATGCCTGGATACAGTTCGTAAATAGTGTGAGAACTGGGAACCATCAAAACATAGCAAATTGTGTTCCAAACATTTTGCGGAGGACTGTATAGATAGGACCTCATGAGCTTTTGTCCGTTTGCGTGAGATTGCAGTTGCTACAATTGGTGAATCTCAGGTAACAATAATTATAACAACAATAAATAATTATTATTATTAATAAATATTTATTAACAATAAATATTTATAAATGAAGTAGGTTATTAAAATAATGTAGGTAATATTCTGAATTACACCTGGACATTACACAGTACTTTTGTATACAACTTCAATTGTACATTTCACTTGCAAATAAATAAGTTTGTATACGTGTGAACAAAGAGATTTCAACTAGAAGGTTCTTGATATTTTATATAAAGTACTAGTTTTTAATTAAACACATTTTTGTTTAGACCATTCTTTAAATATGTACTATTTGACATTTTTTATTGATGTAACAGCAGCAGTTCTTTGCCTTTCAAAATATGATTTATGCTTTTTTTTATAAAGCTACTTACTTTGTGTACAAAATGAAGGTTTATATATGTTATGGTATTTTAGGTTTATGAAGTTTCAGGACTTTTTATGAATAACATTTTTATAAAACCAATATTAAATATGTTTTCAAATGCAGTCAACTTCAGATTCACACCATTTACATACTTGTATATT